ATAAAAATCCACTAGTCTCTCAAGTGTGGGGCTTTTCGGCCTCTTTGTGCTTGGGGGGTTTGAGGCAGGTAATAATTCCCTAGGGTGTTTTGGAAGCCCAAATTCACAAAGTGTGTGTGCAGAGATATATATCTGGGCTGTTATATGAGGAGGGCTCTTCTGGCTTCAGGGCTAAGTTAGATTCTTCAATCCCACTTCACAACATACTTGTTAAGTGCCCTCTCCTGAAGCCAGAGTTTTGGGGTTCAAATATTGGTCTGCTATTTAATACCATATGTCCCTCTTTCTTCCTTTCTCTCTCTCTCTCTCTTTCCATTTCCTTTTCTATGAAAAGGGGATAAAATAATCAGAGCATTATTAGGCAATTAATTAATCCCTGTAAAGCACTTACTAAATGCTCAATACCAAATAAACAATTGTTATTACTAGTAAAAAGGTATTGTTTTGCTCTGACATGTGTCATTTCTCAATGAGACTGAATGCAAAAGGAACAGTCACATCACTATTAGTTGATCACTGATCATCTGACACTTACCTTCAAGTGTACCTGGCCTGTTCCTGCTGCATGCTAGACATGATAAAAATGGAAAATGTTATAGGTTTTCTGGTTTGTATCTTCAATTTGGGGCCTTAATTTTTTGTTGGTGTTTCTTTTTGTCTATAGTCACAACACATACTGTCATCCTGTTCTCATTTGTAGTCTATAACTTGCTCTGTCAGAATGCTTAGATTTTTAAATTTGAATTTAATGTGCATAGATTCTTCACAGATGGCTCATCATTTGGTTTCTGTTTATTTCTTAATTGATGTTCAGCTCTGCTTGTAGACTGTCTCTTGCATCTTTAGTAGTTGGGGATCACTGAACATGATTTTTCCCCCCTTTTTTTTTATTGAAGTATAGTTGACTTACAATGTTGTGTTAGTTTCTGGTGTATAGAAAAGTTATTAATATATGTATATGTATGTATATATACAGGCCTGCATGCTTCATATATATCTGAATATATGTGTGTGTGTGTGTGTGTGTGTGTGTGTGTAATCTGAAAGTGTAATTTGTAGAGCCATAATGTTATAGAAAGAGCTTAGTGTCTTACATTTGTATAGTGCCTCCAACTTTACAAAGTATTTTACAAAGTAGTAGATCATATATGCTCTCATTAAATAACCAAATGAACTCTGTGAGCAGGTACCTAGGTTTCAGGATAAGCACACTGCGGATTTGGGAGTCTAAGCAACTTTGCCAAGATCACCCACTTTGCAAGAGTTTGGGCTGCTTTGCAGGAGTCCTAGTCTCATATTAGACATTTCTTTCCATTTAAATACACTTCTCTTGAAATTGGTAAACAGATGTAATGTCAAATATCAGCTCTGCTATTTCATTCATCTTTTCTGCCCTCTAGTTCCTTCAACTCTCAGATGGGATTAGTAATATTGATCCCTAAGAATTTCTGTGAGGTTGGCCCCTAGCAAGCCTTCAATCATTGCATTAAAAGAAAGAAAAAGAAAACAGAAGAAGCAGATAGGTTAAGTCCTTAGAGAGTGAGGTTAAGTCCTTAGAGAGAAAAATAATGATTGTGAGAGATTGTATTTTGCTTTTTATAATTTCCCATCTCTTCCATCTAAGAAGTTATCCAGGAACTTTGGGTTCCCTTGTCTTAAGAGGAGTTTGTGGGGCTAAAACAAAAGTATCTGAAGATGACACCCACTTCTTGTCTAAACCGGTAAATTAAAATAGATTTGCTAAGATTAAAGTCTTATGGGATTAGTGGGGATTCTCAGCCATTTTCAACCCACTCCCTAGCAGTGCCTGAAGGAAGCGACAGAATCTTAAAAAAGGCATTGTAGATTCTGGAAGTTTGAACATTTGGCTCTGAGATTTGGGCATCAATGAGATTCTTAGGCCCCAAACGTGGCAGAAAAGCTACTGATCTTCAAGGCCTCCCCTGGGCTTAGACAATGAGAATTACCTGCAGTAACCATGATGGATTGAACATAAAGGGTTCCCCTTCCATTTCAGTCAAACACATGAGCCATGGGACTCCTTAGGAAAAGAAGGCAGTTGTCCACCAAATGGCTGTATTTTAGTCTCCAAACAATCCAGCACAGCAGGGCTGCAGTTAGGTTTCTTTTTTATTCGAAGGAATTAAAGAAGGTGATGTTCCTTGCACACCTTATTTGGGGGACTAAGAGTTTCAACCACCAAAGGCATTAGAGGGAGAGAGAGGAGGAAAGAGAGGTTTATGCCTAATGTGATTAACCATCGGAAGAAAAACAAATTCTGCACCTGAGAGAAAGAGAGAATGCCCAAATATGACTGAAGAGCAAGAGGACTTGAGGGCTTAAATGCTAATGGGTAGAAATCATGAATTCCCATTAATCTTTTTTAACCATCCTGAGGAGAGGGGGCTACCATAGCTTCTGCATAATAGTCACCTACTGGACAACTATTGACCAAATGCCTACATTCTTAGAAGCCTGGCTTAAGCAGCAGCATCAGTGGCAAACTACCAGAGGGGCCACCTCACTTTTTCATTCCTTGATGATAGGAACTATGCTACACCAAACTCATCTTTATATCCTTAGCATCACATAAAAGAATGTACTCAAAACTCCCCTAAGCACATGATGGGCTGAATTATGTAATGAATTCCACTTTGCACAAGAACTCTGGGTTATCTCCTACAGATACTTCAGTTCAGTTCGGTTCAGTCGCTCGGTCCTGTCTGACTCTTTGTGACCCCATGGACTGCAGCATGCCAGGCCTCCCTGTCCATCACCAACTCCCAGAGTTTACTCAAATTCATGCCCATTGAGTTGGTGATGCCATTCAACCATCTCATCCTCTGTCGTCCCCTTCTCCTCCTGCCTTCAGTCATTCCCAGCATCAGGGTCTTTTCAAATCAATCAACTCTTCGCATCAGGTAGCCAAAGTATTGGAGTTTCAGCTTCAACATCAGTCCTTCCAATGAATATTCAGGACTGATTTCCTTTAGGATGGACTGGTTGGATCTCCTTTCAGTCCAAGGGACTCTCAAGAGTCTTCTCCAACACCACAGTTCAAAAGCATCAATTCTTCAGCACTCAGCTTTCTTTATGTTCCAACTCTCACATCCATATATAACTACTGGAAAAACAATAGCCTTGACTAGATGGACCTTTGTTGGCAAAGTAATGTCTCTGCTTTTTAATATGCTATCTAGGTTGGTCATAACTTTTCTTCCAAGGAGTAAGCGTCTTTTAATTTCATGGCTGCAGTCACCATTTGCAGTGATTTTGGAGCCCCCCAAAATAAAGTCTGCCACTGTTTTCACTGTTTCTCCATCTATTTGCCATGAAGTGATGGGACCAGATGCCATGATCTTTGTTTTCTGAATGTCGAGCTTTAAGCCAACTTTTTCAGTCTCCTCTTTCACTTTCATCAAAAGGCTCTTTAGTACTTCTTTGCTTTCTGCCATGAGGGTGGTGACATCTGCATATCTGAGGTTATTGATATTTCTTCTGGCAATCTTGATTCCAGCTTGTGCTTCATCCAGCCCAGATATTTCACTATGTATTAAACAGTGGTCCAGGATTTGTGTAGTGGTGGTGGTGGTGGTTTAGTCACTAAGTTGTGTCCGATTCTTGTGACCTCCATGGACTGTAGCCTGCCAGGCTTCTCTGTCCATGGGATTCTCCAGGCAAGAACACTAGAGTGGGTTGCCATTTCCTTCTCCAGGGGATCTTCCTGACCTAGGGATTGAACCCAGATCTCCTGCATTGCAGGCAGATTCTTTACCTACTGCGCTAGGAGGATTTGTGTAGCAGACCTCAATGGCCCAAAACTCCCACTGTTGTTTTATTATCTGTGATCATCTGACATTGCATTTTCCTCATTCTACATGATTACTGTTTACTAATCCAAACTCAAAGAATACAAGTGAATGTCTATTTGCTTTAAAACAGTCAGCAGGACATAGGCCATGTAATCACCCTCCATCTGTTTCTTGATGATTCCACACAAAATAACAAGCATCCTCCCTGTAAGCCATAGTTCTTTTATGTGCATCTGGTAGTAGAGAAAAGGAATGCATTGCCCTCCGGTTTATGGTTCCATTTTAGTAACTGAAAAAAAATACAAAAATAGGAAGACTATGTATAAATAAGTAACTGTAGCATATTTCTCTCCACTGTTGGTAGTCATCACTTTGTAATAGAGATAATAATTTAACATATGTTATTAAGTTGGACTTTATAATAGAAGCCAAGATTTTTTAGAAAAAAATCAATGCTTAAGTTGATATTTTATTTTAAACTGCCTTTTGTATGGGTAAATGCAGGGAAAGGATTTAATAATTCAGTCCAGCAAGCAATTACTATGCAACCACTGGGTGCCAGCAAAATTTGGGGAAGTTGCCTTTAACACGATAAGAGAAGCAAATTTCTGTGATTTTTTTCAATCTACTTGGATCTTTCCTGGCTGTCTGAATTTTTAAAAATCTTTATGCTCAGTGGAAAAGTGGAGGAAAAAGTCTAACAATATGCATACTTAACTGTGGTCCAAACATGGTTCTTATTTTTTCTCTGCCTGGAAATGGAAAAAATAGACAAACAATTTTATTACTTACAGAAAAAAAAAAAAACTCTAAAGATTATTTTGTGATCAAAATACCTATTTGAAAACAAAATTTGGGGTATTCCTAAAGTCAGGAACCATGTATTAAGTAAAACAACATCATGGTAACAAAAAGTGTTTAAAAACGGCTTTTATGGTGCTATTTTTATTTACCCAACACAGCTGACAAAAGCAATCAGTCAAAAGTGTAATCACCGAGAGCAGTCAGTTTGACTATTCTGATTAAAATTTCTGAGAAACCTAGAAAGCTCAAAATAAGTATAAGTAGGATGTCTTCTAAAAATCAATACACAAGCTGTGGTAGCATGAAGAAATATATTTAAATAAATGAGCAATTGGGAAGACTTCAAAACAACTTTTTTATATTATTTATTTATTTGGCACATCTCTGACTTCTGCACTGGCATCATATAGGAGAATTTCTTTGCTCTCCTGATCACAGCTTCTCACATATCAGATATAACAGCTATTTGAACTGGCACATCTACACAACCGTTCCTGCCAGGAAGTGCGTTAAGACAGTGGATGTAACTAAAGCTGCAGATTTAGAGAGACAGCATCCCAAATGACCAACTGGGCATGCGGCCAGAATATTGCAGGTAACATTTCTCTTTAGAGAAAGGGATATGTCACTGCACAAAGCCACCATCAACTCAACTGAAGTCCTTCTCTCCTAGGAATTCTTCCAGTCTCTTCTTGTAGTGACTGGCCACAGCTTAGGACTGTTCAGAGTGCCCTGCATGATATATGAACACCATCTTCTGAAAATGTATGTTTTGCATGCAGCCATCTTCATAGTTTATAAAACCAGATGTGTATAGGATACACCAGGAAAGAGACATAACAGATCAGATGAAATAGTTGGGTTACAGTATGTTGAAAAGATTAAATAAAATATTTTTATTTTATAAATTAAAATTTGAAACCAGAAAACTTGACAATTGGATGACTTATAACCACACTGGAGTGATGAGCCTTTTCCGAGCAGGTGTTATGCAAAGGACTGGAGCACGGAAGGAATGAAGCTGTCTTTCAACATTTTTACCTCAAGGGAAATCATACAGAACGAATGGCAGAGATAGATCCCAAGCCAAGAGATGACAAGAGGACTTGCTCCATCCTCTGGAAAATACGATGATAAGAAACAGATTTCAGCTGTTCCTTAAGTTTTCCCTCTGCTGGACAACAGGGCTGCCAAGAAATGAGGATACGCAGATTATGACATACACGTCACCCCTCCACCTGCACCGCGTCCCGACAAGTCACAACGACACAAGCGTGTCTTTGATCCAAGTAGAGGAGACCTACCTGTGAAGCGAAACCGTCTTACGTGAGACACTGTATTCTGCAGAAGAATCAAGTAAAGCAAATGAGTATTTTTGTGACATTCTTTAGAAAGCAGCTCAAAATATCCTTTAACATTGGTAATCAGAGGTTCACATAAACACTTCTCCAGAAAGTAGAATCCCACTTTCACCTCCACCAACAAAAACAGACACATAACAACTGAAGCTAAGAAAAATTAGGGGCAAAGTTCTGTTACTCTATTTTAAGTACGTATTATTTTTCAGTTATGCCTGCCCCTAACATTTGTGGAGCCCAAGGCATGAGTGTATATGAGTATAAACATACCCTCTACCTTGTAGATCAAATAGTTTTCTACTGTGACAAATATACTTCTATAACAAAATCTGAAAATGTGTGAAGTTATGATTTTTCATATGACTGACATTTGGCAAAATACCAAAGCTGAATGAATTTAATTACTTTTGCTTATGTTGGGCATTTGGTTAATAGGCTAGTGATGTCTTGATAAATCATAAAATAAACAACTGTGGTATATACATTATTATATTTTTTCTATAAAATTACTTTCTTGCACTCATTTTTCATCTCAGCAAACTCATTATGTTGTGAAATCAAGATCTTTTACCTAATATATTTTCTAATAACAGTAATGATCTAAGGAACTAAATATACAATTATATCCAAAGTGTACAAAATGTATTTTCATCAAAACTATGAATTTAAACATAAATTCATAAACATAAACAAATTATTTTATTTTCAAAGTAAATGATATTTCTTCTAAAATATTTATACAGAAAACTACAATTTATAATTAGTAACTATAAATACTTTAATCAAAGCAATTTAAATCTCATTAAATAATTTCATAAGAATCAATTAATAATGTCACTATTCAAGGTTCCTGTGTTTGCCAGGGAAAGAATTAGTATCACACTTTATTGCTAGTCTTCAAATATAAATGTAAAAGAAATGAATTGTTTACTATTCCACAGCATTCTTCAGCTGCCATGTACCAGAAGTGAAAGTATCACACTAAATTTGTGAGAATGGACAGAATAGTAAAAGGAAATATATAAAGAAGCAAGACACACTGGGACCTAATCAGCACAGCAAGATTGAAGGTGGTGAAAAAACTGTTACTGTGAAACAAAACCTCCCCAGCTGTTGGGTGACTTCATGAAGGGACTCTCCTGTCCAACTGCAGAGTCCAAAGATGTTTGATGAGTTTGGGCTTGATTCCAGCAGGTATGGCTGTCCAAGGAGACCCAGCCTGCAGAATGGGAATACAGCCAAAGGAGTCCATAGGCATCAGCCTAGACTAGGAGTCAAGAGACAGATGGAACCGTGGTTTTAAATGATATATAGCAGAACCTCCTTGAGCAGTGAGAGGGTCCAGGTAAGAGAGCTCAGCCTCCATGGATAAGCCTGTTAAAGTTAGGCAGAATGTCAGGGCCCCGGCCAAGTAGGCTTGGGTGCAGGGAAAAGCTCTACATCCAGATGGAGTTTGAAGTGATGAGAGAAAACCAAAACAGATGTCTGGATATATACACAGATTTAACCAACACAACTGGGGTAAGGGGAAAGTATTCATTCAGTAAGCAAACGGTGGGGGAAAACAGGAAGCACATGGACCCCAGGTCCTTTCTTCTTGTGAAGGGTGCAGATGTATTTTCTGCCATGGTGAGAATCATTCCAGGCTTTGGTTGAGGTTTGAACTTGAATGAAAAGGGCACTTGTGATTATTGTTGAGTGGCACTAAGAAGACATGAACTGAACAATTTAAAAACTGTGCCATGGCTTGGTATATATATATTTTTAAGTGCTTATATGGGATTGTTGGGCTTCTGAGGTGGCTCAGTTCTATAGAAGCAGCTTGCCAATGCAGGAGATGTGGGTTCGATCCCTAGGTCCAGAAGATCCCCAGGAGGAGGAAATGGCAGCCCACCCCAGTATTCTTGCCTGGAGAATTCCATAGACCAAGGAGCCTGGCAGGCTATGGTCCATGGTGTCACAAAAGAGTTGGACATGGCTTAGTGATTAAACAATAACAACATGGGATTGTTGGGGAAATTATTTATTGTGGTTTTAGTTTATCGTGTATGATTTAAATATGTATGTAAATCAACAATTGGGTTCTCAGGTGGCGCAGAGAATTCTCCATTGCCCCCTGTCAGGGGATCGTCCCAACCCTGGAATTGAACCCGGGTCTCTTAGGTCTCCTGCACTGGGAGGCGGGTTCTTTACCACTAGTGCCACCTGGGAAGCCCTTTATTATGGTTTTAATGTATAGGCCCAATATACTGGTGAAGTTTAATGTAACTATGATTACATTTTGACCAGATCTTTATGGGTAAATTTTGTATTGAAACATTATGAAAGTTTTCATTAATTTATTTTAAATAGATGTATATTATAAAATCAATTATAAAATCCCTATTATACCTCTTCAGACTCTTGAAACTGCTATTCCCTATGCATCAATCTGGGTCCTCATGACTCAGCAGTTACCTTAACATGGATAGTTTCTGCAACAATGTTGAATGACTGAAATTGTGTGCTGAGTTTTTGGCATCAAGCCTTTCCTGGTGGCTCAGATGGTAAAGAATCTGCCTGCACTGCAGAAGATGTGGGTTTGACCCACATCCAGGGAAGATCCCCTGGAGAAGGAAATGGCTACTGACTCCAGTATTCTTGCCTGGAGAATTCCATGAACAGGCTACAGTTCTCAGGGTCGCAAAGAGTCAGACACAACTGAGCAACTAACACTTTCACTTTCATAAAAACATATCTCTATTATGAAACTAAGCTAATCCATGGACCAGCTCTGTCCATGAAAATGCAAGTTTCTGAACACATGATCTTAAAAGAAAGACAAGTTATATGTTTTCAAGTGCTGAAAAGTAATTCTAAATTACTTTACATTCTAAAGATGACTTTCAATGCTGTCAGTAATACTGCTGTTGCATGACATGTCAAAGAAAAGGGCTTTGGATTAGGAACTTGGATGTCAAGGGACTGGTGAGGATAGTGAAGTATTTTCCTGTTCTCGCTGACTTTACATTGCAAAGGGTTTTTGTTTCTATATGACTCAGGAGAAGCATAATTAAGGAACCAAGTTGTCACTTATATTGAGGGGCTGTACACTTTAATAATAAGTGGCAATTAGTGAATCACAGGAAATGGAAACTATTTTTGTTGATGTTTTTCCTAAAAAGTTTCTATCTTAAATAATATTTTAGGTCCAATGACTGATCTGAGATAGGAAATGACCTCTTCTAAGACCACTTTGGTAGAAGCTTTATTTTATGGACATTCAGCCAAACACTTTGATTTTAACTCGTTTTATATTATTTCCTGCTAAATGCATTAGAAAAAACAGCAAACAAATTAATCTTCCTTTAAATACATGGTCTATTTTGCTGAAATAATTCTGCCAACTGTCAGTTTATTGAAATGTGTTGGTGTTACAGAGATATGCTGTAATGTATATTTTATTTTATTTTTTTGTAATGTATATTTAAAAAATATATTTAGCAGGGTAACTTTAAAAAAATGATGCAAATAAATAGTAATTCTTAATTCCAAAAACATCTGACAACTTGAAATGGTCTTAAAAGAGGTATTCTGCAAGTATTAATTAATTATCACTTAAAGTTGATTTACCAGCATCTTTCTTTTTTACCTGTGGTAAAGAACACATAACATAAAATTTATCCTCTTGATAATCCTTAAGTGTACAGTATGGTATTGTTGACTATATGCAAATTGTAGGACAGCAGATCTTTAGGATGTTTTCAACTTGACTGAAACTCTGTACCACTGAACAGGAGCTCTGCACCGCCCCTCCCTGAGTCCCTGGCAACCATTACCAGCATCACTTTTAATGAATGATCCTTGACTTAATATTATACAGTTCTAGAATTTTCCAAAAGTGTCTATACGTATTCTTAAGGAATTTTTGTTGTTGTTTTGAGTTGCTTTTACCGAATTAATTGTTTCCAGAACCTTTGAATGCTTTCCAAGGATGGATAGCCAATTTTTACTTCTTTGTTATCTGATGTTTTGGTTATAAAAAATAATTTTTAAGAGGCAGTTTTAATCAGATGAAAAATAGGAAATGTAATTAGTAGATCTTTGTGAATACATTGTATTCTGTAATCTCTATATCTGGCCTCAAGGTAAAAGACTAATTTTTCTCCATCTATAAAATAGTTTTTAAAAAGTATTTCTTTATGTCTATCTGTGTAGAGTGGCAGCTCCCTCACTTGGCTCTCAATACTAAATTGAAGTATAAAACTTCCAACAGTGGGAATTAATCTCTTTTCTGCCTGAATCCTAGCTTCTTCTTTACAAAAATATTTGGAAATTCCCTGGCAGTCCATTGGTTAGGACTTGATGCTTTATCTGCCAAGGCCCTGGGAAAAGTAAGATCCTATAAGCCAAGTGGTGCGGCTAAAAAAAAAGTGGTTTTTTTTCTAGTTTATTTGAGATATATATGACACATGGCATTGTGTAAGTTCAAAGTGTACAGCCTGATGATTCATCTTATACACATCAAAAGATGATAACTTCATACTGAAGATAGTTCTCAACATTGTGAATAAGCTAGACATCATATATGCTTTAAAAATACAATAAAAGCTTTTGAAACAAGACAGGTATAGCATAGAATCCTGGGTCATCATTTACTAGTTGTACCATCTAGCGCAAGTTACTTCATATCATTGACCCTCAGTTTTGTGAACTGTGATAAGACACTAACAATGCTCATCTAGTGAGACAGGGAATTCAGTTACACAGTGTATTTAACATAGCTGGCAAGGTGCTGGTAGAATAGCAAGTAAAGAACCCGTCTGTGGTGCAGGAGACACAGGAGACCCAGGTTTGATCCCTGAGTCAGGAAGATACCCTGGAGGAAGAAATGGCAACCCCCTCTAATATTCTTGTCTCAATAATTCCATGGACAGAGGAGCCTGGTGGGCTAAGTAAGGTCCATATGGTCGCAAAGCGTTGGTCGTGACTAAGCACAGACACAGCAAAATAAACACCTTTATTTTCCTCTGTCCCTATATCAGAAACCCAGTTTAATATGGCAGTAGGTATGCAGATGACACCACCCTTATGGCAGAAAGTGAAGAAGAACTAAAAAGCCTCTTGATGAAAGTGAAAGAGGAGAGTGAAAAAGTTGGCTTAAAGCTCAACTTTCAGAAAACTAAGATCATGGCATCTGGTCCCATCACTTCATGGGAAATAGATGAGGAGACAGTGGAAACAGTGGCAGACTTTATTTTTTTTGGCTCCAAAATCACTGCAGATGGTGACCGCAGCCATGAAATTAAAAGACACTTACTCCTTGGAAGGAAAGTTATGACCAACCTAGACAGCAGAGTAAAAAGCAGAGACATTACTTTGCCAACAAAGGTCCGTCTGCAAGGCTATGGTTTTTCCAGTATTATGTATGGATGTGAGAGTTGGACTGTGAAGAAAGCTGAGCGCCGAAGAATTGATGCTTTTGAACTGTGGTGTTGGAGAAGACTCTTGAGAGTTCCTTGGACCGCAAGGAGATCCAACCAGTCCATTGTAAAGGAGATCAGTCCTGGTGTTCATTGGAAGGACTGATGCTGAAGCTGAAACTCCAATACTTTGGCCACCTCATGTGAAGAGTTGACTCATTGGAAAAGACCCTGATGCTGGGAGGGATTGGGGGCAGGAGGAGAAGGGGATGACAGAGGATGAGATGGCTGGATGGCATCATCATCTTGATGGGCATAAGTTTGAGTAAACTCCGGGAGATGGTGATGGACAGGGAGGCCTGGAGTGCTTCAGTTCACGGGGTCACAAAGAGTCGGATACGACTGAGCAAGTGAACTGAACTGAACTGAACTGAACTCAAGAGAGACAGTAAGGGAGATGGGAAGGAGGGATAAGGAAAAACAATGTATTCATACAAGGTAGAAGTGTACATGTAGGCAGCCACCGTATTTGGCTTTTTGTAGAGTATTGTCGGCAATGGAATTGGCACCCATACCCAGAGCCAGGTTAGAAGATGGGTCAGTCAGGCAGTTGCCCAGTGCTCTGATCCATTAGGGATACAAAATTACAACTGAACCAAATTGGAAATACAGTGCATGTTTGACTCTTTTCATAACTAGAAAGCTAAAAAAATGATTACTCCCTTGAATTGCAACTCAGAAATCCCATTGGGTCAGAATCAGCCCGTCTCCACTGGGAAGTTTTGCAGCCTACTCCTAGGGGGCCTGGTTAATAACCCTGAGACTTAAGTCTCTAGTTCCCATCAGCTGAAGGATAAAACTGACTATAGAACATGATCTATGCTATTTGCTGAGAACCAATGATTTACAACTAAAGTTTAGATGCTTCTTCTGAAGCCTCAAAAAAGTAAAACTGATGCTAGAATAGGAACCACAGGAAATTGGGAAATGTTTTGCTGCCTTGAATGCATGAGAGGAGGCAGGGAATTTAAATGCTAAAAAGAAAAGAAAAAAACAACAAAAAACCTTGTAACCACATCCATTAAATTGTTCTGTTGTTGTTTAGTTGTGCTGGATTCTTTTGAGACCCCCATGGACGGCAGCCCACCAGGCTCCTCTGCCCATGGTGTCCATGGGATTTCCAGGTAAGAATACTGGAGTGGGTTGCCATTTTCTTCTCCAGGGGATCTTGTGATCCAGGGATCAAACCTGTGTCTCCTGTGTCTTCTGCTTTGCAGGTGACCTCTTTACTACTGAGCCACCAGGGCTGAATGTTGGTGATTAGTGCAATCCAATGACAGTATAGATGTGAGTGATAATCCCACCTAGGTTAAAGTATTGTGTCACTTTCCAAGCATATAATAGGTTTTTCATTTTGAACATAAAGAAAAATACCTGTTGAACAAATATTTTAAGGATATTGGTTAGAAGGAGTGATACCTGCATGTCTTAGTCGTGACTGTCCATCTTACTACTATTATTGTAGGTCATAAATGTTCACTCTGCTTCTCATACAGAGAAACACACTCAGGAAACAGATACAATTGCATTTAAATACCTAAATGCCACATGTACCTAGTCACATACTTTACATATAAATATACTTAATAAATAAATCAAGAAGAAGAAAATAAGAGCCAGATTATAAGGGCTTATAATAGCAAAGAGAAATACAGCTTAAGCTGTTGTAATGAAACAGAAGTAGAGAATGATTTAAAAAAAAAAAAAAAAGAACAGAGTTGTTTATACTACCCAATTTCAAGACTTATAAAGTTTCAGTAATCAAGATAATTTGATACTGGCATAAAAATAGACAAAAGGATCAATGGAGAGAATATATATCCAGAAAAAGACCTACCCATATTTAATTAGGGCTTCCCATGTGGTTCTGTGGTAGAGAATGCCTGCAATGCAGAAGACAGGGGTTTGATCCCTGGGTCGGGAAGATCCCCTGGAGAAGGAAATGGCAATCCACTCCAGTACTCTTGCCTGGAAAATCCCACGGACAGCGGAGCCTGGTGGCCTACAGTCCATGGGGTCACAGAAGAGTCGGCCATGACTCAGTGACCAAACAAGCATGTGACAATTAACAAAGATACAAAGGCAATTCAGTGGGGAAACAGACTTTTTAACAAACTGTGCTGGAACAATTGAATATCCAAGGACCAAAAGCAAACAAACACACAAAAAGCCAACCAACCAACCCCAACAAAAGCAAACTTTGAGTCATGACTCATCCCATATATAAAAATGAAGTCAAAAGGAATCATTGACCTAATTCTAAAACCCTGAGCTATAATACTTACAGAGAAAAACAGGAGAAAATGTTTGTGACCTTAAAACAGACAAACATTTCTTGGGTCAAACACCAAAAATGAGATCTAAAAACAAAAAAAGATGAATTCGAGTTAATCAAAATTAAGAATTTCTGCTCTTTGAAAGACACTGACAAACCACAAGGTGAGAGAAATGTTTGCAAATTACTTGTTGTACACAGGACTTTTGTTCTGAATAAAGAACTCTTAAAATCCAATAAGAAACAGTATACTAACACATATATATGGACTTTAGAAAGATGGTAACGATAACCCTATATGCAAAACAGAAAAAGAGACTCAGATGTATAGAACAGACTTGTGGACTCTGGGAGAAGGCAAGGGTGGGATGTTTCAAGAGAACAGCATTGAAACATGTATATTATCTAGGGTGAAACAGATCACCAGCCCAGGTTGGATACATGAGACAAGTGCTCGGGCCTGGTGCACTTGGAAGACCCAGAGGGATCAGGTGGAGAGGGAGGTGGGAGGGGGGACTGGGATGGGGAATGCATGTAAATCCATGGCTAATTCATTTCAATGTATGACAAAAACTACTGTAATGATGTAAAGTAATTAGCCTCCAACTAATAAAAATAAATGGAAAACAAAAAAATCCAATAAGAAAACAGCAATGCAATTGTTTTAAAGGGCAAAACCCCCTCCAAAACAAAAACCCAAAACGTTTGTTGTTGTAGCCCACCAGGCTCCTCTGTCCATGGGATTTCCCAGGCAAGAATACTGGAGTAGGTTGCCATCTTCTTCTCCAGGGCATCATCCTGATCCAGGAATCCAACCCATCTCCCCTGAGTTGCAGGCAGATTCTTTGCTGCTGAGCCACCAGGAAGCCTTCAAACACAGCTACTGGTTTGCAAACAAAGCGGTCCTTGTGAGAAGGAAAGGGACCGCCCCTAAAAGCTAAGAGGCAGGGAATTTCCTGGTTGTCCAGCGGTTAGGTCTCCACACTTCCACTGCAGGGTGCACGGATTTGATCCCTGATTGGGAAACTAAGATACCACTTGCCACGTGGTATAGCAGAAACAAAACAGAACTTAAGAGACAAATAAATGGAAGCCTCAGCTCTATAACTGCAAAGAACTAAAATTCTGCCAACAACTGGATGAGTTTGGAAGTTGAGTTCTTCTCCAGAGCCTCCAGATGAGAGCCCAGCTCTCTAAAACCCTTTGCTGTTGTCTAGTTGCTGAGTGGTCTCCAACTCTGTGACCACATGGACTGTAGCCCACCAGGCCACTCCGTCCATGGGATTTTCCAGGCAGGAATACTGGCGTGGGTTGCCATTTCCTTCTCCAGGGGATCTTCCTGACCCAGGGACCGAATCTCCATCTTTTGCATTGGCAAGAGAATTCTTACTATTGAGTCACCAGGGAAACATTTAAACCCCTAAATTCCCATCATATGAGATCTTGAACTGAGAATGCAGTTGAACCATGCTGGACTTAGGACTACAAAACTGTGAGCTAATAAATTGGTATTGCTTAAGCAGCTAACAAAATGTAGAAGAAGGAAAATAAGAAAAGAGGGAGGAAGAGGAGGAAGGATAGAAGGGAGATGAGGGGAAGAGGGGGAAATGACTTGAACAGATATAGCACCAAAGATGTATGGGTTGAAAATAAGCATATGAAAATATGTTCAACATCAACAGTATTAAGGAAATGGAAATTAAAAGTATAATGAGATACTACTATACACTTAGTTAGATGTCTAAAATTAAGACTGATCCTCAAGTGTGGCAAGGATGTGGATTAACTGGAACTCTCATAAGCTGCTTATGGGAATGTTAAATGTTATAACTACCTTGGAATAAGTCTGGAAGTTTCTTAAAATATTAAACACTACCAAATGACTCAGCCATCCCACTCCTAGGTATTTAACCAAGAGATATGAAAGTTTATGTTCAAATAGAGCCTTCTCATAAGTGTTGATTGCAGCATTATTTGTAAACTGGAAACAATTCAAATTCTGTTCATCAACAGATCAATGGAAAAACACATGGTAATATAGCCATACAAATAGAATATTACTCAGAGAAAGACATGAAAAGAAATGAACTATTAATATGCACAGAACATGGAAGAATTTCAAAATAATTATGCTCAGTGAAAGAAGGCAACTCTCACCCCTGAAAAAGTGCATAGAATTATTTCCATTTATGTAGAATTCTAGAAAATGAAAACCCATCTCTCCTGACAGGAAGCAGATCCAGTAGTTGCCTGTGTCACTTTGCAGTGTAAGTCAGGGGAGACACTTGGCCAAAATTATCAAAGGTAATGGATCGAAACCTTTCAGCCCAGCACTGGCATGTGATTAACTTCAGGGAGGAGGGACAGAGGAATGCGAGGCTCCTGATGCAGGTTCCCATTGGTGTTCAGCTTGGAACTGATGAATTTAATGTTGACATCATTTGTCTATTTCAATCCAAGGACTGACTCTCTGGAACTGACTGCCAAGAAAATAAATGCCTTAGCTTCACATCCACCATTGCAGACAACCTCTTTTCTGATTAGTTTGTATATCACAGGGCAAGATCTTCACACATGTGAGGGTGAAGATCTTTGTTATTTTGTGCATTGAGATTTCAATGCTTTTGTTGGAGCAAAACATGCAAAAATGAAAGAACAGAATGAAAAGAACAAGAAAAAAAGATAAAAGAATAAAGAGTATTGGAAAGAAAAGTGCAGGATAGTGGAAGACTATATGTAAGGCCATAAATGTATAATTCACTTGTAATTATTAAATAAGTTATAATTTTTAAGATATTTATTCATTCAAAGGGGCAAGTTAATTAAATTTATTGTGAAGTTTTAAATGAATTGATTTTTGCCATTTATTTAATAGGAATCTAATCATTTTAACAGGAATAGTAAGTGGATTAAGGATGTTTTATGACATGCAACTATATAGTGATGCCTTTAACATAATAAAGTGTCTTTAACATTCAGAAAACCAACTAACGCATTTATACAAGTGACTTAATATTAATATTATTTTATAACATCAATTATATATGATATATCTCATACAATAGTACAATATTAATGAAATTAATTATATTAATATAACATAACAAGTCATATAGTAATTATATATTAACATTAATATAATACATTAATAATATTAAGTCACTTGTATAAATATTTTAGTTGGTTTTCCAAATTTTGATTTTCATTAATACTTTCATTATTGTGTTTAATTTTGGGTTATGCTTATCTTAATTATTTCTAATAGATGGTGTGGATTATGTTAGGAAACAGTCTATGCATACTTGAATACATTTATTCTTAAAAATATGTGGTATGCATGTATGTTTTATGGGGGAGTTTCTATCACATGTTAGAGTGTGGTCTTTGCAGGTGTCTATATCAGATTTGGGAAAAATCAAGCAAAAATGATAGACAAAGAAAGACATCCACAGTATTTTATCCTGAACCTTCTGAGGGATGGTAGAGGAGAAAGAATATGAATTTAATCAAAACACCTTGGCTATAGCCAGGAATTCCCTTTCCTGAAATAGATCCTAGTGAAGATATGGTTGTTTGAATGGAGACTACACTGAGTTAACACATAGATTTTGGAGTTAAAAGACATATATTTCAAATGTCAGATTCATCACTTAGAGGCTGTCAGACTATAGACAATTTCTCAACCTTTGCTTCCCTATCTGTAAAATATGGTGGTAAAGGTACCTATCTCCCAGGGCTCTTGAGAGGATTAAATGAGATCCCAACATAGACTGTGCTCCACAAAATGCCTAATACCTAAAAAGTGTTCAGGGCCGGTAGCTGTTTCATGAAAGCGGGTCACACATGGCTGTGGAAGATATTAGAGCAAGAGGATCCAGGCTAAATAAAGCTTTGACCACCGGGAGGAGTAGGCAACTAGCTTTTAAGTGAAATCCTTGTGTTTCCAGCAGTTGTACCCACTAGACAATGTTGCTGTGTACATTTCAATGAATTAAACTTAAATAAAACTTAAAGTTTAATGCCTTAGTCACAGTAGTCGTACTTTATATGCTCAGTAGCACACGTAGCTGATAGCTACCACACTGAGGAGCATAGGTATTAAACCACCTTCGTAGAAAGTTCTACTGGATGATGCTGGCTCTAAAGAGTCTATCCCGGTTGGGCTAAGCATCAAGGCAATGTTCATGAATAACTGGTTAATTTAGCTAAGGTCCACATCAAAACTAATCCTCTTTCTACTTTTTGATTTTTTCTTTTATTATATAGAATCTGAGTCTTATCAAAACTCTGTTACCCCAAATTCTGTGCCATTTTCAAGCTGTTAGAATATTTTTGACCACTGTTTATACCAGTGCATGTAATTGCTTTCAGAGAGATTCTATGAAGGAGGCCGTCCTTGGTTTCTCTGATCGAGTTTCTAAATTCTATCATTAGCCTCAACATCTCTGCAATTATCCATATCTGGTAATTAGCATGTTATTTCTACACTCTTCCTCCACCTCCACATCTCTGAACTGGAAGCTGGGCGACTGGGAGATTTTAAAGTGATCATTCTTTTAGTAGCAGCTGGTTCTTAACTGCCCTGGGTTTGTGACAGGGGGGAACAGGATCTCTATCCATTGCTGCTTCTTCCTAATTACATTCCTAATAGATGGCAAGTTTGGGGATAAAGCGTGGTTACATTTGTAGTATCTACAGGGTAGCATTTTAAGGTATGCTGGGAAATGTGGCAAGGTAACATGTGTAGCCAATGCATTGACTGTCATTAGTTACCCAGACAGCCTGGGTGCCTCTTTCAGCTCCCTGACCCACATTTCATCCACGCTCTGCTGTTTTTCTCCTGCAGGGTTATTTCCTGAGGAAAGCCCAGAGCTTAGGAGTTGCTCAGCAGAGAGCCCTGTTCTGACCTCCCTTAACAGGCAGTTTCACCTGCTGGGCTAGAGCCTTTCTGCTTCCTAGTCAATCTGTTAAGATTTTAGCAGGAGATTCTTGGATACCTTTTCACAAAACATATGGAAGATTGTAATTACTTTGGCCTGGTACAATTTTAGAATTGAGAGAGCAAGGAAGAGGTGCAAATCTTCTGTTCATAAATAACCAAATCTGTGGGCGCTTTAAAAGGCATCCTAGGCAGCAGGAGAATTTATGTGTCACATTTCACCCTTGGCACACTTTCCAAATGAATTGTTCAAAGAGAAGTTGTATTAGGACAAATAGAAATGACGACCAA